TTTTGACGGACGTAGAAAAAAATGTGACTGAAGTGAAGTATAAATAGGCCTTAACTTTGCATTTTTGTACTTAAGGGGATCACTATGAGATGACTTTCATATAAATGGGTTATCGATATTAACATCAGCTTTTTTTTTATTTAATTGGTTTCCTTTGTGTTCAACAACAATGATTACACACTACGGTTACAAGTTCCAAAAACAACCAAAATCATTCCCTTCCCCAAATTTACTTCTGCCCGGCAAAGTGCCTAAAACTGCGGCAGCGTTTCCCTTCATTATCGCCAGACTGATGCGTCGTTTCAAGAAGGCGGTAGATCGGCTTTCTCCTGTCTTTCCCCGAATTAGGCGTCCAACGAAGCTGACTATATTTTTCGCGGCTTCTCCAAGCGCGCCGAGCGTTTCCACCGCGAATGGATAGAGCAGATACTGTTCTCGAGGGAATGTTTTGTCGCTTCCGACTTTCCGCTTGCCGAGCTGCTGCACCAGCCGCTTTTGCAGTTCCTTTAATGTACGACTGTGCCATTGTATCTGCGCATGTGGCATCCCATGCCAGCTGTTTTCCATCACGGACGGGTACCAGAGTAACTCCATCCGGCCGCATGCCATTGTCTCCCGACATTCCCTTGGGCTCAAGTTCACTAGGAATACCCGCCGCAAAAAATCCACGGTGAAGAATGCTGTTTAACTCGGAATGTAAGCTCCATCTGCCTTTGTTGTACAAACAAGACAAGCCATGGTGACCGTCGGGGGTTACCGGAAACGAGCATGCTTGGCAGTCGTGAGTTGCTACCACGGGTAAGCCAAACCTCAGTCCGATGGCGATTCTCACTTGATCATCGGAAAGTAGGGTGCCCAAACTAGCCGCCGGCAACGCACACAACCATGCTGCAGATTCCTTTTCTGAAGCAGCCAGCAAGAGTGCCATTTCCTTGTCGCTTCCGCTTTCCATGGTTTTCAGTCTACATCTCGAGTAAGACAATTCCACCACCGGCCAGTCCCAGCTTTTCTGAGATTTCCGAGCATATTCTACTGGCAGTTCACAATGGTAGGTATCAGTCCATAATGTTATGGCTTCATTGAGACCCGACAACTGACAGTTAGGGAGCAATTCTGAGCAGATGGACTGCACCGAGGTAGCCGAAGCGATGAACGCTGACAGTGCTAGCTCCTCCGTACGCCGTATACCCAGTCCTCCTCGTCCTACTGGCATAGTCATCTGTGTCCACTGCGATTCATTATTATCCACGTTGGCGATTGAAGTGGTAGCTTTTTTCATCAAGCTGTCAAACTCCCGTAAAATATCCAGGCACGCATACGTTTGGCTTCTTCTTAAAACGTGCAACAGTTTCGGCGCACTTAGGCAGTTTCGTAGTAAATACAGTGCTTGCTGAGATGGTAGTAATTTTAGCTTTTCCACTAACCTTTCGATTTCAGATATCCTGGCGCGTAGGAAAGACGGAACTGCAAATACGGTAATCGGTGAGCCGAGGAGATATAATTTCTCATTCTCGCGAACTTCCCAATCCGGCCATTGCCATAGGAAGCGATGTTTGTCCGCTGCACGCTCTTCTTCTGTTCCCCCAAAAAAATGTACTTCGCACTTTTCATGGTTTAGAACCAAACCGATCTTTTTACCCTCTTTTTCAATCTTTTGGATGTCTGCCATAACGGCTTCTCTTTTTCCGGCCAATGTTACATCATCTAAGAAACCTAATTTCAATTCGCTGTGAAGCCCGTTCAGCAGTGGCAACGTCCCCAGGTAATATCCCAGTGGGCCAGCGTTATCTCCTTGCTGAACTCCCCATTCGGAAGCGACTACGTCCTCTCCACATACCAGGTAAGAAACTGGAGCATACTATTGGTGGAAGTAGGGATAATACTGTGGTATATCAGAGCGGACGGCGTCCAACACGGCAGTCCTGCTGATCATATTAAAGGCATTCTTGAATCTAGTTTCACCATGACGCGTGCCTCGACATGTTCCGCCTCCAGATAACTTCGTGCTGCATGTACGGCAGCTTCGGCGGCTCCTTTCGTACCATGTCCTAACTGGACTGGTCGAAGTTTTCTGCCCATTTCTTCCTGGCATCGTGCGCTGATAATCTTGGACGCTAATCTGCGCAATACATCTCCCACTGCGATTGGACGAATTCCACCAGTTGGCTTTTTCAGGGCTACTAAATTTGCACCAAACAAAAAGGGACGTACGTCAACAGGAGCTTTACCATTGACAATAACATCCAACAAACTGGTCATAGCTACACACAAGACTCCTTCAATGGCATCTCTTCTCTCCAGCATATCTTTGAGATGCTGCGGTTTCATTCCCATAAATCCACCGGCAGAGCCGGCTGGCATATCAAAAACAGCATCCAGCAGCTCCGCGAGGGTTACGCGGGGGATAGAAAGAGCGGGTGCAGGTGGTTCAGGGAAAACCGTGCCAGGCGGCCGTGGTGGGTGTTTTTCTTTTAAAGCGGCAATAGTCTCTTCGTTAATTTCTGCCAGCGATTCTTCGGAAGCCAGGAACTTAATAATTTCCCGAGTCTTTCCGTTTTGGAACAACTGAGTAACGCGCTTACGGAGTTTAGCAACGTCATCGGGCTTTTCTTTACGGCTCCTTGAAGATACATTTCGTACAGGGTGCCCATGCTTCGTTTCTGGCTCTTGTATTCCGTCTGCTTCTACCATACACTTGAGGTTTCTCTTTACTGTAACACTCAAGGATTCTTTGCGGAGCGCTTTCGTTTCAGGTAGGGCGAGGGCTTCTCTACAAAACAGTAACACAGCGCACCAGGATTGTGTATCGTTCAGCTGAACACAGCGACGGACTCGCTTCAGAAACTCCTGTGTGCATAGGTAGCGCGCTGTTTTAGGGATTCGTGCGGAAATGTGGATCCGTGGGGCTGTTAAAATCTTGCTAAGACAGGATACAGACGGCTGAGCGGACATATTTACCGTACTCTTCGATGCCATACGGTCTTTGGAGGTTTGAACCGCATGTCGATCGTCCCGTCCTTCTTGCGTGTCAACGGCAGTTCCCCGCTCGCAGACATGGTAGAACCCAAAAAGAGGGGAACAGGCAGCAGGTGCACAACGCAAAGCAAAACAGTGGAGGAAAAGAGACTTACGAGAACTCCGCAGGTGTGTCGCTTGATGTCTGCGGGACAGCTGCCACCACACAGCCTCTGGAGAACGCAATCTTCCAGACTCAGGTCCCGCAGCCACCCTCCATACTGAACGGCGGGAAATTTGCCATTCAGGGGCAAAATAAAAAAAAGGCCCAATAAATTTTATTAGTTATTCAGCCGACCGTCCATAAGGTGAATCAAAAATCAAAAAATAAGTTATAATTACACAGATTCTCAGAATAGTGCAACCTCATAATCAGCTTGTAGGAAATTTTTCGGGCTTTCAAATAGTATGTTCGATGGGATATATTGTATTGTGATCATAAGTTATTAGTAAAACAACAAGACCGGGTCAGCATAGGCGAAGTAAGTGCAATGATCTTATCGGCTAGCCATGGCCAGCCGCATGACAGATAGACCTGGACAGCAGAACAGAACGCCTCATGCTGTCCTGTTAGACCTCAACAGCAGAACAGAACGCCTCATGCTGTCCTGTGGCCGGAGCCAAGCTCATTCTTCCTTCTCAGGCTATGCTCTGTCTAATCTCTATCCTGCAAAACGCGGGCTTGGGTAGCCGGCTCTGGCTCACATTGCTGCCGGTCAGTCAGCAAGCCTTTCATTCAGCTGCCGTTCTCCAAAAACTTGTGAAATGGCTTTAAAAATCGATAACTCCATTGTAAAACTTGCTACACTTTCCAAATGGGCATCAGATAATGTGTTATTTTCTAGAAAGTCGAGATACTGCCATAGTCCAATAAGGCATGTTTGAATAAACTCAAAAAGAAACCCTTTTCAAAAAGTGTTTTTCTCGATTTTTTTGTAAACTAACAACATTTTTTATTAGCATGTTGGAGAATATAAGCTTTCTAGGCTAAAACACATCCAATGATGTGTATCACATCTGATTTGAAAAAACTTTCTCATGCTAAAACACATCCAATGATGTGTATCACATCTGATTTGAAAAAAACTTTCTCATTCGACTTTTGAATTCAAAGGTTTTCCTTTGTTTCTGGAATAGCTCTGTCCAGAGAGAGCGTAGACAAGATCGCAATACACCATTGTGTAGCCAAACCCTTTGCGCATGCAGTCAGAACAATGGAAACAATGATCTTCCAGTTGTTTTTAACCTATTCATGTTTTCCCAGACCCACTTTCATCTCATAGGGACCCCCTTAATGATTCATTGGCTGCTGTGCTGTTGAGTGTATCGTGTCAGCTACTGTACAGAGTACAGCGCCCGAAGCTGCTAGCCAGGTTGATTGATTCATGGCCGCACGACCGGCTTGCCAGTTGGGACTGATAATAAATATTACCATTCCTTGCTATCAGTTCATACACTGAAATCGGTGCTGGAATGGTAAAAACACAGATACTACGCCTAGTTTAGCGCAATAATGTTATCATAGTAATATAACCCAAAATTAATAAAGCTTCAAGCACTCATAAAGCGGTCGACAATCAATTTGGGACGAGCTTGTATAATCAATGGCTGTGGCAACTCGGGTAAAACGAGGTCACCCTCTGATAAGTATCCAGTGCCTTCGTGTACAGTACCTAACACGTTTATATGAACACCGTTACCTGAAGCCGGGACAACAATTGGTCACCTTGATAAGAGGGGCAGAAATGAGTGCGACCTCAACTTTTGTCAATACATAGCTTGCCTTCTGTTTGCTTAGCGGCTGGGAGTAACCTCTGTCCTCTGCTGTACATTTCAAACAAATAATCCGTGTCATCACGGCGGCCTCAAAAGATAATATTTAAGAAACTTACCGAATTATTAATCAGCGCTTAGAAATCGCCAGCAATATCTAGCGTGCGTTGCGAAAGCTTCAGCTCAATAAATCTGGAATTCCGTGGATAATTTTTATATATTTACTTTTTGTCTACTATTTTGCTCATTACTAATGCCAAAGATGAGTGATTTTCAAATGCTCCTTTGTAAATACTGTAACATCGATGGCGCCACAAACGGTAACCATACGTGCCATTGTGTCTATACCTACGCACCCAAAGATTTCCTAGGGAGAGGCAGCTATGGAATGGTGTACAAGGGAAAAGCCGCAGAAGGCAGTAAATTCGATGGAAGAAACGCCGTTGCAGTTAAACTTATTCAAAAGAAAGCTGACGGTGGAAGTTCGTTAGGCACCACAGAGGGATGGAATAAATGGTGTGATAAATTAAAAACTCTCCTCCGTCTGCAGCATAATCATCTGGTTACGTACCATAAAATTACTATCGAAAGAGAAGATGCCGTGGTAAATGCCACTCTGGTGATGGATTCTTGTAACCGAGGTAAGAGGTTTCGTCGGGTTCTTTGGACATTATCCCGGTATGTTGTAATGTTGATATGAGGAGAATGAGTTGGGTACATGATATTAAATTCGTTACATCCACGGAAACTCTCGCTTTTGTTGCTGTGTACAAATTCAAACGTTTTGTAACTTTTGTTGCACCGTTTCCTAGCATTTCGTTTGCAAACGATCTGTAGAGAATTAGGAATTACCAGTACAGTACTCGTATCGAAGGTAAAACACTTCCTGCCCAAAATTTCTGGTTGTTTAGACAATTTCATAGAACATACTTAATGACATTTAAAAGTACAAAATTTCAAACGAATTCCTAATCCGTCAAAATTCTTATTTCGTGTCTAGACTTAGCTGCGGTCATAGAGAAGGATTTACTTGATTACAACGCCGCAGTAAATTATGCATGCCAAATTGCCGATGGACTAAGCTACCTACACCAGGATGATGTTAAAATTATGCACGGAGACTTAAAACCGGAAAACATTTTGATCCAGTCCATAGGGAAGGAGAACAAGTTGATGATCTGTGACCTGGATGATTTTGTTAAAATCCAGGATGAAAGGATCAGCAGCGCTGATCTTACTACGGGGGTGGGAACATGCCGCTACATGTCTCCCGAGTTGTCCCGCTTTATTATCAACAAAGACCTGAAGGGAAATCTGGTTAGACGGCGAACCGATACATGGAGTTTGGGGTGTATTATTCTTGATTTAATTGCATGTGTTATGGATCAGCGTGAGAGATCGCTGGTCAAATTACCGGGGAGTCTTAAGGCCATGGAAAACATGTCGAAATTGAAGTACACTACAGCGGTGATTAAGGGATGGGTGCCATATACTTGGGATTCTATACCGTCGGATATAGCGCAGTGCATCATGCGCTGCTTTACGTACGATAGGCGCGATAGGATAAAAGCCGAAGAACTCCTACAGAAACTGCGAAATGTTAGGGATACATTACCAAATAAAATCGCCTTATTTGTACACCGTCTCATGGGAGGAAAGACCGGGGTGTCGGCCTATGTGTTTGAAGCAAGAACAAATACAATGGAATTGCTCAAGTTACCGGCGGATTTACAGAACAAGGCTTTCGCGGGGCAAGTCAAAGGACTGGACAACGAGACGGTATTTCAGGTTGTTAGTGCGGATAAGGTTAGCTGGGATACGGTTTCGTGGAATTTACAGGAGCAATCCTCTAACACGCTTGTATTTTCGCGTTTGTCGCCCGGATGTCTTACAAAGGTGCAGAATAAGATTTACTTCTCTAATCGGCTTCCATGTGCGGGTGTTAAATCTGAACTGCTGGAAATGGATCTTGCAAGTGGCGTGCCTATCACGAAGCGCATTGTATTACCAGAAAAATTTGCAGAGTAAGTACACGCTAATTCTGCTGCTTTTGCTTGAGCAATCCATTAATTGAAAACTGCTTGGAGCTCTTTAAATAATTCTCCGGTAACATGAATCGTTAAAGTGTAAATGGACAATTTCCGCGTAAAATTAAACGGAAAGGTCACTTCATAAGAAAAGCGTTGCAGTTGTCGTAATTACAATCCTGTTGCTTTCGTAGTTTGCGCTTCATACACAGTGCAGCGCGCCTCGGCCACCGATACATAATCTTCTTCGGTGAAATCAACGAGGTGATCAATCACAATTCCATTTTTGCGCTATGTTACGACACAGTCACCGGATCGTGGCAACCGTTGCCGAGTCTTGCGGATGGCCGTCGCGATTATGCGGTAGTCGTTGTAGGGACCGATGTCTACGTTACCGGTGGCATGAGTTTCAAGGACACCTCCCAGGGACATCAAACAACAGTCGAAAAATCGTGTTTGCGTTTACGTATTGCTGATGCACAAATGGAAAACTTACACTGGGAGACACTGAAGGCAGAGCTGGTACTTTCGCGAGTAGATCATTGTGCGTTTGCTGTCGGTAACAAACTGTATGTCTACGGTGGACGGTACGCGGATGGATCACCTCCGCTGACCATGGAGATGTATGACACTGATAACACGACAGCCGGTGCGGGTTGGGTTAGCGTATCTCTTAAGGAACTGCCTCAGGAAGATGGATTTCAAGAAAAAAACGGCCGTGTTGTGCGTACAGTGTGTGTTCCATTCCATGCTGAATCATCAGGAAATGTCTCGGTGTTAGCTGCATGAGCAAGTGCTGCTCCAGAAATTTACCGTTTGCACAGATACGATTGTATACAGCTTATGTATACGAAGTTTATGTATACGTATACGAAGTATAGATATACGTACGAGATAACAGAATTAGAAGTGTGTACCATAACAGCGAAATTTTATTTTTGGTCGTTCTTCTTATTCATCTTAGCGTTATACACCGGATTAATTCCACATCGGTTCACCGCTACATTACACGAATAACATGCTACAGGTATTAAGTAAGTAACACACAAATTAATGCATTTGTAAGTACCAGTTTCATACAATTCGAAGCGTTAATACCGTCAACTGCCTTTAATAACGCTAGCGGTAAGGATGTGGTGCAACATGCATGGAGTGTATTTTTAGCTTTGCTTAGAGCCGCCAAAAATTATCGTACCATAGCGCAACGCTTAAGACAGTAATTTACTTACAGAGTATCTGTACATGTTACCTAGTTGTGCGCATTGGGAAGATTATTTTTGGACTGCCGGAATATGCATGGCGGAGAAACGATGCGTGTAGCAATATACTGTACATGAACACAGTTGTGTACAACTACTAGAAGAAAATACGCTTGCTACACGAGCGATATGCACAAGCGTATGGCCGTTTTATTACAGTATCGTTTTTATCGTAAAATTTAACGACGATTTGATAAGCTTACTGAGATAGCAAACACAGCCGTTACGGCGGCACACACTTCGCTTCATACCTGTCGCACACACATTTAGATGAACACCTCTCCGCTATAGCAGCACTTGGATTCTTAGTAGCGTTTGTTCCGTATGGCAAATCACTGCTAAGTTTTTGGAGAGGTATTTAGAATGTGGCGAGCATGTTTCGTCCAAAATGTAACCGCCGATTTACAGCATGCGTTGGATCATTCACGTTCGGTTTTCTCATCATCGTTGCCATCGTTTTCAAATACAACAGCATCCACAATAATCCTACCAACCGCGGCGATCCCCCGACGTCCTCCCCGAAGCTGATATTATTCTGGAACAAATTCTTCAATCACGATCATCCCGATCTGCATGTCAGTTTCGCGGGATGCGCCGTGCAGACGTGCACGACAACCAACAACCGTTCGCGGTTACGCGAAAGCAGCGCCGTCGTTATCCATGCCGGTAACGTCAAAATCCAGGATCTCCCGCCCACGCGGCATCCCGCACAGTACTTTATCTTCTTCCACATGGAGAACCCCTTCCGCACCACGCCTAACTTCCGGCTGCCCTTATGGCGCAACTACTTCAACCTGACGTGGACGTACCGGCGAGATTCGGATGTGCGCTCGGTGTTCTATGTGAATTTGTACCGGCGACGCAACTGGTGGACGGATGCGCCGGGAAAACGGCATATGTTGAAGGAAAGGAAGAATGCTGCGGTGGCGCTGGTATCGCACTGTGCAGCGGAGAGCCATAGGGATGAGTATACCCGCACGTTGGGACGGTATTTTCCGGCAGATTCGCTGGGGAAGTGTAGATCTAAGGACGGAGAGTGGGCCCAGGATGAATCGATCATTGGCCAGTATAAATTTTATCTGGCCTTCGAGAACGGGTGAGGTTTTAAGAGAAACCACTATTAACCTCATGTTTTTGCCCTTGCTGAGTGAGCTATTGACTTAATGAGACACGGTCTAAATCCACTGACTAAAAATAAAGATGATCTGTTGCACAATACAGTAATTCTGAAAAAGGGTGTTTTAAACAATGTTTTCCCGAAAAAAAATGTGATCTGTTGAATTTTATACGAATAGTTTATCTGGCTAGTAAGTAAGATGATGATTGTGCTCTTCGGTTTAACAGACTGAACTGATGTGGTGATTAGAGTTTGATGATATCGTAGTGCAGTGGATGCAAAAAATACTACCGTGCGCACGCCTTCGGCGGCATAAATTCGCTTAGCACGCATTTAAAATCATAATGTTTGCACAAACAGTTTGAAGTAAAAGTTTTTAAACTTTTGTTTGATTTTTCTAAACTTTGCAATGCACATTGCAACGATCCAAGTAATGGAAAAAATGTCAACAGCCGAGAACTGCTACAGTATAATTATAACAGTTGCGCATAAATGCCTTACTTAATCGGATAAGAATTTTAACTAAGTCATTTAGTCCACTAAATGTTTGGAATAAAAATCCGCTTACCGTTCTTAATTATTTGAACGAAAACTATTTAAAAACTATATATGCAAGTACCAAAGAGTCTGCTAGTATTACTAATATAGGTTTATGCCAAGTCAATTTTCCCTCGAAATTAAGACCAAAACATGGGTGTTTTAGCATCCACTATACTACGAAATTAACAAATTTTAACCACGGCATCAGTTGAATCTTTTAATCCGAAGAGCAATATCACCAGGTACGGGCAATAAAATTATAAAATAAACTACTGATATCAATTTCAACATTTGTTCACAAACTTACTAGGTACGGGCAATAAAATTATAAAATAAACTACTGATATCAATTTCAGCATTTGTTCACAAACTTCTTTTCAAAAAAGTTAAAAACAGTTTCAACGGAGGGTAAAATTTGGTAAAAATACAATCTAAATATACAAATGTTACACAATATTCAAAGAGTGTATTAAATTCGCTTCGATTTGCTGTTGTCTCCCAAATTTAAATATAAATTGTAGTTTAATACTCATAACGTTGCAGATACTGCAAGGATTATATAACCGAGAAGCCCCTGCGCGGACTGTATTACGAAACCGTTCCTGTTGTGATGGGAGCGGCCAATTATAGCGCTATTTTCCCGCCGAAGTCTTTCATCAACACTGCCGATTTTGGATCGGCGCGCGAGTTAGGCGAATACCTGACGTATCTCTCCCGGAACCTGACCGCGTACGAAGAGTATTTTGCCTGGAAATACGATACACAATACCTGGATTTGCCGGGGAATTATCAGCCTAAACACAATGACGCTTGCCAGTTGTGCACGTTACTGCATCGAACGGATGCGCCGGCGAAGTCCTATGACGACATTTACGAGTGGTGGATGGAAAGGTCACAGTGTGTCATACCGTTTACTGCGTACCGAGAATGGATGCCGCTGCCAGGTTTTGTGATTTTTTATGGGTACGCTGGGATTGGTTTTGTGTTTGTTATTGGGTATTTGAGGTTTCGTTTCCGAAGATGAACTATGTGTACAGTCTGTGTTGTGTTGCAAAGATAAAATAGAAATACTGCAGAATATTACTGCAGAATGAATTAAGCAGGAAAGAGCACGAAAATTAAGCGAGGCATTTCCGATCTGAATCAGGCATACATTTATTTTTACTTGCCTATAAAGTGTATGTTGCGGTTACTACTAAAATAACATAATAGTCAATAGAGACACTCCTAGGCGGAATGTTTTCTAAAACTGCTCCTGTTATATTGGGCGCGGACAACACTGTTAACTTCCCGCGAAAATCTTTCATTAACACCGCCGATTTTGGGAGCTGGCCCGCGAGCTAGAGGAGCACGTACAACGTGTCTCTCGGTGCTTTCCAAAAGTTGAGCAAGTACGCTACGTATTTTGCTTGGACCGAGGTATGATCAAAATTACGTTTTTGTCGACCATCCATGCTTGTTCGAAGGCCAACCCTAGCAGACAACGAGCACAACTGACAAAAATAAAACACAATTTATTGGTAATTGTAATCTGTACCAGTTTTACCGGTTTATTTACTGTAAACCGGATACCATATATATAAATATTCGCTGCAAGGTGCAACGGTAACCACAAGCAATACATAGAAGGCAATAACCCGTTCAAAGCACGTCGAAACGGCAGAATCTTGCAAAGCAGAGAGAAAATGGCGAATATGGAAGGAGAAAGAGGCATGACTAACTACTCTGTACATTATACCGAATTATCCAATAATTCTATCGAAATGCATACGAGAAACGTACAAAAATAATAAGAACAGAGTGTAAGGAGAATGTGTATGTTAGAAATCGTTCAAAATGTGGTGGACAACGATTATTAAGTAATTCCGCATAGCCTCCCCACAGCACGAGCACAGTACTGTATACGTTTGTGTACGTAGTGATGTGCTTGTGCAGTATTGTTTAACGGTGAATGCTTCACTATGTATTGTACAGCATCTGCACAGCGCGGTGCACTGTTTAATCACACTACATTTCTACTGCGGTTGGAAGAACCGGATGTATGGTAAAAAAACAAGTGACTGCAGCCGTTTGCTAACCGCTGAGTCGACGTTATCCATGCAGCCGTCTTCCGGGCCAAGTTTATCGATCGATGCAAAGTTTGATTGTGTGGTTGATGCGCTCGCATGCAGAGCATAGCCCCACATGATTATAACAGCTCATAAGCGTTCGATCTCAATGATGTGCAATGTGCATGATCCCAGACTGCGGTTTGCGCTAGCGTCTGAAACAGCAACGCGACCGTTGTAGAATCGCTACAACTCATCACCATGTTCGAGGCAATTGTCACCACGCAACTGTTTTGGGTCTGTTTGCCCGTAAAATACTTTTTTAAATCCTAGCAAATCGTTTAAGTTAATTACCGTTAATTATCAGCAAACCGTTTTGAAATTAACCAGAAATGCGGCGAGCATGGTGCGGGCAAAATGCAATCGACGGTTTACCGCATTCGCCGGATTGTTCGCATTGGGCGTTCTTGTTATTACCGTCATACTTTTCCACCACAACAGCATTGATAATGCATCGAACGAACGCGTTGCAGCACCGCCACCGGATTCTCATAAACTGATATTATTCTGGAATAAATACTTCAACTACGATCATCCCGATCTGCGCGTCAGTTTCGCGGGATGTGCTGTGCAAACGTGCACGACAACCAACGACCGTTCGCGGTTAAGTGCCAGCAGCGCCGTCGTTATCCATGCCGGCAACGTCGAAATCCAGGATCTTCCGCCAACGCGACATCCCGCGCAGTACTTTGTCTTCTTCCACATGGAGAACCCCTTCCGCACCACGCCCAACTTCCGGCTACCGTTATGGCGCAACTACTTCAATCTGACGTGGACGTACCGGCGGGATTCGGATGTGCGCTCGGTCATCTATGTGAATTACTACGGAGGACGTAGTTTGTGGGAGGATGCCGCCGCGGAGCGGGGAAAGTTGGAGGAGAGGAAGAATGCCGCGGCGTCGTTGGTATCGCACTGCGCAGCGGAGAGCCAGCGCGATGATTATATTCGCAAGTTGGAGCGGTACTTTCCGGTGGATTCGCTGGGGAAGTGTGGGTCGAAGGGCGGAGAGTGGACGCGGGATGAATCGATCATTCGGCACTATAAATTCTATTTAGCCTTCGAGAACGGGTGAGTCTTCCGTGTAAAGGCAATATCCACCGTATAGATACTATGTATACACCTGTGGAACGTTTCGTACCAAAGAAAAAAAGTGAATCGTTTTTTCGCTCCTTGTAGTCACAGTAGACATCTGTATACATGCTGTAGACACTCTGTAGACCTATCGGTAGTCACCTGGTTTCTTAGGATTATACAGCGTGTCTACAACGGTGTCTACAGGTTGTCTACGGATGTCTACCGCTGAATACAGGCAGCCCTTCTTAGGTTCAGCTCGATACTCTGCCTGTATACACCGGTAGTCATCTCTAGACACCCCGTAGACTCCACTGTAGACACTTTAGTCACCTGGTTTCTTAGGCTTTTTTGGATGTTTACAGGGTGTCTACAGGTTGTCTACAGGGTGTCTACCGGTGTATACAGGCAGGCTTTCTTAGGTTCACCTGGATGTTCTGCTGTATACATCTGTAGACGCACTGTAGACAGCCCGTAAACACCCCCTGTAGACATACTGTAGTCAGCTGGTTTCTTAGATTTTCTTAGGATGTATACAGGCTGTCTACAGGATATCTACAGGATGTCTACAGATGTCTACCGCTGTATACAGGTAGCCCTTCTGAGCATCAGCTCGATACTCTGCCTGTATACACCGGTAGTCACTTGTAGACAGCCCGTAGACACCACTGTAGACATACTGTAGTCACCTGGTTTCTTAGGTTTTCTTAGGATGTATACAGGTTGTCTACAGGGAGTCTACAGGTTGTCTACGGATGACTACAGTGACTACAAGAAGGAAAAAAACGTTCCAGTTTTTTTCTTTGGTACGAAACGTTCCATGTATATATGTATTTACTTGTACCAATACAACACGTTCAAGTCATTCAGAAATGATCCCGATTAGATTTTGTTGTCGAAGTTCATTTTTGGAATTCTCAACGAAATTTCTTACGGCATACCGTATTTAGATGAAGAAAATTGTCGTCAGGTGGACGAGAAATTCATATGCGGCGCATACTCTCATTAATTTTATGCCAGTTCATGAGCTTGATTAGAAGAATGGTACGCGCATAATTTTTCTGCATTGTACTGGGTTTGTTCGTATTAATACCATAAACTGTAAAAAAACTGTGCTAGTAATTTAGGCAACGCATTTAAATCGACTTTTGCGCTTATAAATTTTGATCAGCTGCTGTTTCCCTGTTGTGATTTTGGCTTATGGTTAACGACTATTTTGTTGCAGGTACTGCAAAGATTACATAACCGAGAAACCCTTGCGTGCAGTGTTTTACGATACCGTTCCGGTTGTTATGGGCGCGGCTAATTACAGCGCCATTTTCCCACCAAAGTCTTTCATCAACACTGCAAATTTTGGATCGGCCCGCGAGCTGGGCGAATACCTGACGTATCTCTCCCAAAATGTGAGCGCGTACGAAGAGTATTTTGCCTGGAAGTACGATCCCAGATATCTGCACTTGCCGAAAGATTATCAGCCTCACCACAACGATGCATGCCAACTGTGCATTTTACTGCATCGAGCAGACGCGCCGATGAAGTCCTACGACGACATTTATGAGTGGTGGATGGAAAGGTCACAATGTGTTATACCGTTCATGGCGTACCAAGAATGGATGCCGCTGCCGACCTTTGTTATTTTTTATGGGTTTGCTGGGATTGCGCTTGTATTCTTTACTGCGTACTTAAAGCGTCGTTTTCGACGATGAATCTTGCATAATATACGGTAAATCTTGTATATGAATCTTGTATATAATTTTTCTAAAGCGAAACTATCAGAATATTAACAAAAAAATAAATTCACAGAAATGTGGGATCAGGTTGCTACCGATTTCTGCCTACCGAAACAAAAACCAGTAAAAAGTACCGGTATTTGCTAAGCACGGAATCGAAGATCCTAAGACAGTCTATGTTCTTTATTTCAGTTTACTGCTGAATAACGTTTCGCTAGGTTACATTAATAAATATTCGTTCTAATCAGTACGAGTATTAATTTAATGGTGTTTATCAAGCTTTCCGTACTTGGATTCTGTTTTAGATTCAGTTTTTTGCTTCTTTTTGGACAAATTTGTCAAAGAGTTTTTATATTAGCTAACAGATTGCTGTCATGCAGCTTCATAATGCCTAAAAGATCCCAATGTTTTCAGTTTAGTTATTAATTCGTCGTCGAACAAGTTTCTTCGATAAATTTCACAGCGTCCGGTGATAACCGGAACTGTGTCTGCCGCGCAGCCAGTAGCGCGCGGAAGATCCCCGCAAATACAGCCTCCATTTCCTGGATGACCTTGGCATCCTCCTCCTGTTGTTTTTTCGGAATTGCGCGGCTGCACTTTAAATGTACCAGGCGCGTTGCCGATGAACGTATAGTTATGGCCCAGCGGTGTTTTGTTTTGCAATGCGCCATACACGTCCTCGGCCTTTAAGACGAACAACCCGTTCGTCGTGTTCTCATCCAGATTGGCTCTCTACCGTGATAGCGTTCAGACGTATAATATTCAACACAAACACAAAACAGAAATACGCAGAATGAGAAGAATATAAGGGGAAAAATGAGTCTAGTCGAACCAGTCCCTTGTACTTCTGATGTCAGCCGGCTGGTGTTTTACGTTGTGGCTATACATGGCGCTTATGTACCGCGCCTGATTTAACCGTATGTATTGCCGTAACGTCACACTCCAGGCGGGTGACGGCAGCAGTACAGGGAACCGGGCCGAGTAGACTTATTTGTCCCCTATATAAGAGGGGATGTTAGTGGCTCACCTAGATAATCCCTGTGCTGGCTGCCGTCAGCCGGCTGATGCATGACGCTGTGGCTATAAGGGTATAAGGGGGAGTATAAGGCTATAAGGGGCAAAAGTAAACGCGTTCCACCGTTCCCCTGTACCGCTGCCGGCACCCGCCTGGAGCATGACGTTACGGCAATACATATGGTTAAATCTGGCGCGGTACGTAAGCGCCATGTTCAACCACCTAGACACATTTAAACACCTAGACACATTTAAACTTTTTGGAATTTTCGGAAAGCCATAATCCCCAACCGGAGGTTACGCGCAAAAAGGTTTTCCCGCCAAAGTATGCCAATCACTTGGCTATCACACTGCCATGAGCTATTGCAGAAAAGAGCGTTTGAGTGCGTGAACGTTTTCGTGCATGCCCACAAATTTGGGTGGTATGAACTGGGTCACCTCTTTGACCTGTTTTTGAAAATGTCATAATAAATTAGGGACCAGAAACTCGAAATTATCCTATGGTCTTAACCTAGCTCACTACAGTAAGAGGTTGAACGGCTCACCACCTTCGTTTACTTCTCTAACAAGCGTAATGCTTTTGGCGTTCTGTTTATACATAATCACAGATTCAGTAAAATTTCTGGTTGTCATATTTTAAAATTTTAAAAAAATAGTGAACCGTTTTGAGGTATTCGTGTTTTAGAAATGAGATATTTAGTCATTTAAGTATATTAGTCATTTTAGCCACACGGTCACACGAAGCCAACCAGTATACTGCTTCAAAATCTTGGTTTAAATTTGTGACAAGTTGACAGCTTAAGTTACGAGGCAATTTGGTTCGCGTAGCCTCTGAAATGCTGTTCACTATATAAGTGCTTCGTTATGCGGTAATTCGTCTCGGGTAATCGAATTACCGCATAACGAAGAACAAAAGATTAGTGTGGGAAAAAATGACCCAGGGCGTATGCGCTATTTTCGAAAAATTTAACGTCAAATGCGTTTCGATTTTACACCTGCTTCCCGGTTACAGGATCGCACTCCACTCTTTTGCTATCCTCTTCTACCAGTCGCTTAGCCCTGCAACCAGAAACGCTTAGATTAAGTATTTAAGTTCAACATCGGATCTACGGTACTACAACTGGTAATGGATGCGGTCGGTCAAATGTTTGTTGTGTTCATACTCTTGTGGATCAAGCAGCTGATTGTGGATCCCCTGCAGTCGGCGGGCACACTTGCCGGCATTCCCACTGGTGTCGACAACAACGACGTTTACATCGTTTTTTATATCCCGATCGCCAATCTGAAAGCCACCGAAGCGCCATGTTACATGTTTACATTTGTACGAGTACAATTCCTAAGAAATTCTCGAGTTTTCAAGAAATAAATCGATTGTTTGGTTTTCTCGATATTCGATAAAAGCCAGCGTTCTAATGAGACAGTTTTACAATAATCAGCAAAAGCGGTAGATCTAAGATAAGTCATGTGTCCTTTTGATTAACCTGGGTTAACAATTATTATGTACATAAATGGCTGCTTTAAATCTTCTACACTCAAATACTACTTAAAAACACGTTCTGTCCTTCTATTTTATTTTTAAGGGTGTGGCTATTCCCACCACTTCACACCACCTTTTGGCTATTCTCACAACCTTTCACCGCCTTTTGGCTGTTCGCACCACCTTTTTGAAAATATTTTTTACATCACCTTTTGACTGTTCCCACCTCCTTTGTACACCTCTTTTGGTTATTCTCACCTCTTTATAGTACTTTTCATACCATGAGTTGTGTATATCTGAAAGACTCAATCTACAGATTTAAATCAGCTTTGCCGTTAGCGGCACTTTTTCCTTACGATTAGTTGCACCGGCCGGAAACTTACCCTAGTACTTATTGATACCGGCAAATATTACCGGTTTCTAGAGGCCGATAGGTTGCTACTTCAGATAGACCGTTTTTGTTTTGTTTTTCTTGCAAAAACCTGAGATAATCCTTTTATCGTATTTAGCGGAGAAAGAGAGAATTTGATACCCTGCCGGTAAAAAAATCTTCCGCTAAAGCGAAGAAGTTCTGCGAGAGAACTCCGTGAACATCTTTCTACATAGGTGATTAGGGACGCACTAGGGGAATATTGCGTACAGCGCCTGCTCGTACAAGCTCGGGCTATTGCACTCGTATACAACGGCTATGCAGTGCAGCATTAATACACACTCACTGAGCGCACACATTGAGCGTTGAGCACACAGCCACATGTGGTCGTAGGTAGTAGGTACTATACAAAAGTGTAGTCTACATGTTTGAATGAGAAGATTACTGGAACCATAACGCATATTGCTGAATCGAGTCTCGTTTTTAGGTGCGTCTGCGGAGCTCCGCACACTGCGCACAGCCTTTCTCTACTTCCAACGTGGCGCCCTCCGGATCAGAGAATAAAAAAATCAGAAACGAAATGAAAAAGCAGCACTAGTAATCTAAACTGCCATCAAAATAAAACAAAGTTTTGATTGCATATTAGCGGGCCATTTCGCAGGGAATGTTCGGCTTTTACTGCTTTTCAAATGCTATGCTGTTTGACCATTAATTCCATGATTGGGTAGCCTTGCACCAATCGGCACATTTGTTATCGTTAAGCCTAGTGGTTTCGCACAAATGTGGTTGGGTGAAACCGGCCACTCACAGAACGGATAGAGGCTCGACAGGCCAATGCGAGAGCGGACATACTAACGTGCTCCGTTGATATGTGGAGTCATATCAACGCAACACGCTATGATCTCACTTTTTCCGGGAGGGATACCCCGCACATTTAATTCTCGCGAAATTAATTCTCGCGGTGAAAGGTGGTGATAATAACCAGAAGAGGTGCCAGGGTGGTGGGAACAGGCATTTCCTATTTTTAAGCAAAATAACTGTTAGAATGCCAAGTACACTGTATAGAAGTACTGTATACTTGTAATTACGGTATTGCTGCACAGGAAAATTGCGGTTGCTTTTTGATATTTTGCCAAAATTCAAAAGCTGCGATACCCGAAATTTAACCAATCAGATTAAATTTTAACGAATAAAGTACAGTATTTAATGTAATTTTTGTTAATGTATTTGCATTTTACGAGTAAATTACAGTATCGGCATTTAACTTATATCATCATCATAAGCACGTTCTTTACCTGGATTGATTTGTTGATAAGGGGCTGCATCGCACCCAGAAATGCTCCATATAGCTCTTCGGGGGTGACCCCCATCGCTATGGCATATTTACTCATCAAGTCCCTGGTTTCCTCGTTAAACAGTTTAGTAACATCCATCTTGTTTTGGGATGAAAGGAATGGACGATACACCTACAAAGCGTCAACACAAGCGAATAACCTGAATGCCAGCCACACAATAATTATTTTTTTTAATGATAATTATATGGCACTGTACTTGTAATATTGAGCACTTCGATTTTGGATTACTTTACACTTTAAGTAACACATAATAAAACAAATGTGGAACAACCAGGGCGCATGTTACAGTATAATAATATTACCGTGCAACTTATGGTTAAGTAGGTACGTAATTGACTACGTAATCGGCACGTAATTGACTACGTACGTAATCGGCACAGAGTAAGACTTACCACTACGTATAGTCGGCACAGAGTAAGTGGTTAGTGTAAGTATGTGAACACCGTACACGATCTACTTATCGTAGTTGTGAATTTTCGAAGACGGTTCAAACTCGAGTCCAAACTCAAGTTCAAGTTAAAAAAGTAGTAGAGGCCACGGCTGGGCCCGTCTGAACGTAAACTTGAACTTGCAAAAGTCAATTTAAGTTCAAGTTGGACACCTATGGCACAGTTCGTACACGACCATTTTCCGGATCACATTATCGGTTCGTAGTGCAGTAGTCACTTTCAGACTGCGTAGTCGGGTGTAGTCTCTATCGTCAGAACTTTTGTAACCTTGACAGCATGCGCACCTGAATGACACTACAAGACAGCTTGCTCCACTGAATTTGCGGTAGTTCACTGCAGTTAATGTAGTCAAAGTAGTCCACTGCAGTTTCCGTAGTCCCTGTAGTCTCCGTAGTTTCATGTAGTCTCACGTAATCTCCGTAGTCTCCGTAGTCCCATGTAGTCTCAGTAGTCCCGTGTAGTCTCCGTAGCCGCACGTAGTCCCCATAGTCCCGTGTAGTCTCCGTAGTCCCGTGTAGTCTCCGTAGTCCCGTGTAGTCTCCGTAGTCCCGTGTAGTCTCCGTAGTCCACTGTAGTCTCCGTAGTCTCATGTAGTCTCCGTAGTCTCATGCAGTCTCCGTAGTCTCATGTAGTCTCATAGTCTTATGTAGTCTCCGTAGTCCACTGTAGTCTCATGTAGTCTCCGCAGTCTCATGTAGTCTCCGTAGTCTTATGTACTTTCCGTAGTCTTATGTAGTCTCTGTATCCACTAGTCTCCGTAGTCCACTGTAGTCTTCCGTAGTCTCATGTAGTCTCCATAGTCTCATGTAGTCTCATAGTCCATGTAGTCTCCGTAGTCCACTGTAGTCTCATGTAGTCTCCGTAGTCTCATGTAGTCTCCGTAGTCTTATGTACTCTTCGTAGTCCCGTGTAGTCTCCGTAGTCCCGTGTAGTCTCCGTAGTCCCGTGTAGTCTCCGTAGTCCACTGTAGTCTCCGTAGTCTCATGTAGTCTCCGTAGTCTCATGCAGTCTCCGTAGTCTCATGTAGTCTCATAGTCTTATGTAGTCTCCGTAGTCCACTGTAGTCTCATGTAGTCTCCGCAGTCTCATGTAGTCTCCGTAGTCTTATGTACTTTCCGTAGTCTTATGTAGTCTCCGTAATCCACTGTAGTCTCCGTAGTCTCCGTAGTCCACTGTAGTCTTCCGTAGTCTCATGTAGTCTCCATAGTCTCATGTAGTCTCATAGTCTTATGTAGTCTCCGTAGTCCACTGTAGTCTCATGTAGTCTCCGTAGTCTCATGTAGTCTCCGTAGTCTTATGTACTCTTCGTAGTCTTATGTAGTCTCCGTAGTCCACTGTAGTCTCCGTAGTCCACTGTAGTCTTCCGCAGTCTTCCGTAGTCTCCGTAGTCTTATGTAGTCTCCGTAGTCACATGTAGTCTCATTAATCTCACGTAGTATCCGTAGTCTTATGTGGTATCCGTAGTCTCATGTAGTCTCCGTAGTCCCACATTGTTTCTGTAAAGTCCACTGTAGTCTCCTTAGTCAAGATGTGCGGCGATGTACGAATGCGTCGTGAATGTGCGATTATTATTGTGCCCGTAGTAAATGGACGATGAATGTCCCTGGTGTTGCCACGCTGCCTTTTTGGACTAACGAACACACCTTGGTTTAACATCTCTCCGTGTAACGATGAAAAATCTAACAAAACTAATAAAGTGATCATGAGCATTAGAGGTCAGCCACTTACCGTTACCGTAAGAAACCTCAGAAGCAAAGGGCGGTTGTACGAAGCCCACCGTCACGAGCGCGAAGACCAATAAATCTAAGAAATCTAAGATTATCCTCAGAAACATAAGCTAAGAACATCCTCACAAGCCTAAGAATAACTTCCGAAAACCTAAGTATAAAACCTAAAAAACTAAAGATTAACATAAGAAACCTAAGAGTGAAAAAAGCGTCCTAGAAAAACACGAAAGGCAAGCCCGAGAAATTCTTAGAAACCTGAAAAACCTAAGAAACCTAAGAAAACCTAGAAATACTTCCAAAACTAGTAAACTTAAGAAATCAAAGATGGCCGAGATATGCTGTTGCCGAAACAAGTGTCGGCAGAAGTAAACCTCGTACAAATTTTACGTTGGCCGAAATGATTATGTGCGGCCGAAATGTAACGCAGCCGAAACGATCGGACGCGGCGTTGGCCGAAGCCATCTAACGGCAGAAGCGCAATATACCGAAAAGCGTCATCTATTGCACTGCCTAACCACTGCAGATGTTTGTTTAATAGGACTGATACAGTGATACTGATAGTATATAAATAGTAGAATGTTCGGATACCGTCGTACGAGGAACATGGTAATTGTTAAATTATGGTTAGTTATCCACTTTGCCACGATCTGTCTGTCCCTGCATGTATGCGCACTTCTTTTCGTCACTGCACTTTTACATACGTATACACTGCAGATGATATACGCAGGTAGGTAAAAAAATTTAAGCGGGAAAGATAATCTACAAGTTAGCAAGTGACCTTTTATAAAAACTCTCATTAGCACTGTTAGGTAAGAAAATCACATCTGGTAAATCATACAATCGTGCGTATATGCATATAGTGGCAATAACCGCCGGACGGACAGCAAATTTATCATCATCTTTGAACAAGTTTAAAAACAAATACAAAAAGTAGTTACAAGCATGCAGTATTTGTCTCTAACCAAATTTCTTCTACTGTTATTTCTCAAACATCCTTCAAGGTTCGGCAAGCAAACAGTCAACTACAATAAACAAGAATAACTGGGCCGGTAAACAAGCTAACAAAATATGGAAGAAACACAATGCCAAAACAACATACATGCCTTCAGTTCAACACTACCGCAGTTAAATTTCAGCGTGAAAGTTTGCGATTGCAACCAGCTTATCATTTCTGAATTTAATGGCGTCTTCAAGATGATTTGCGAACCTAGTTATGAACTGCGGTTGACGCCGCTTAACGGTTATCTGTTTTCGCAAAATTTTTCATATGCCAATTTTCCTAAAATCAACACGCAGCGGCTGCTGTGCTGTGTGTGAAGAATAGTTTGTGATATAGCCGCTTCTGCCGTAAGAATGCGCAACACTGTACTCTAGAGGCTACAGTCGCTACACTCTAGATCGTCTAATCCCTAGAGTACAGTCCTGGAATGCGTTAATCAAAGCGGTTTCTGTGTGTCTCCGCGTGTTGGAATCTTTCGTCCTGGTTAGCTGGGCCAGTCTACATTCAGAAATTGCGACTCTTTCCAAGAAAAGTTTCAATGGTATCGGACTAGATTACACTTGAGTGTTGCCGCAGTGCCGTCGTAAGATACCTCTTTTGTCTCTTTAGCGTTGCTCAGGTATTCTCAAGAACTCATCCGCGCGTTCTGCGCAAGCTGCCAACGGAACAAAACACATACCTGCATGCGGCCCGATAACGATGCTTATATTGATAACGGAGCTCCCGAATCTGTGCAAGATACCTTTTCCTTGCAAAATGTTTTTTAATCTGCACAGTAAATGAAATTGAAAAGTTACGAAACTTCCACCGGCTTTTTGACTCTAGAATTTTCGTCGACGACTTGATCTCTAGGAATCCTGCCGGCAAGACATTCCACTGGCGTTCTAGCATTGGCCTTTTCACGTTGAAACGAATAAAATTTAGCATTATTCAAACATGAAGATGAACTATCAGACCGACTTATATACTTCAGGTTGAAAACCAGAAAACAGCGTAAGTTGGTTTTACAACCGGTGCCAACATACTAGTACGTCAGTTCTCTAACCTACGTTTTGCATCCCAACAATTTAGTTGCTGACCGACCACAACCTGCTGACCCTCAGATCGGTTTTCGACAATTTTTCTGCCCGAAGCTCTGTTGACAAGAACGAGGACTCAATTGTGGCAGGACTTCAGGCCCGTGCTTTAAACTTTAAATGTAACTTAAAATGTGCTTAATTTTATTCTAATTTGTCTACTGCCGGGCTGTACAAGTTTTCGTATCTACCCGTTGCGAATACGGGACGTACCTAAGCGTACATCCGTCCCGAATCTTTTCATGGGTATCCTGGTACGCGAATAAAAAACCACGATACCGTTTCGCGTGCCTGATGTTCCGGGACGGTTGTGTACTATGCGGGAGCTAGTTTTGCTACAAAAATGAGGTCTTCCTTAAGACGGTTTAGTTATACGTTAGCTGCACGTCGAGACGGGGCGACGTTGTGCTATTCGAAGTGACGGTCGTCGAAATGATGATCACTGTTACAGCCATCCCTAACGGCTAACACCATTGCTTATTAAGCCAACGAAATTCTATGAAAACTTTCTGGCAGCATAACACAGTCCTAGCCTACCGGATGGATATTAGGATCTATTCTCTAAGCTCCGTATTTCGCTGGATCACTGTTCGCGGTACCATTTATTTCAGCTTTCATTCAATTGTTTCTGGCCTGCAAGGTCAGCGCTCCTCAAAACTAGTGCGATGGAAGCCAACGTGCCACGTGTACAACCGTTGTTTAAAGCAAACGCTGGCAGATGCCGGAATCGACGGCAGTAAGTTATCCACGCATTCCTTCCGGCGAGGTGGTGCCACAGCAGCAGCCAAATTCGTAGCATCGGCAGCGGTAATTAAAGCGCAAGGCA